AGATATCAGCTCAAATCTTTTCAGTGGTCACCTCCGAACGGTTGTTTGTTCTTTGTTACTATAGAGTAGTTCAGTGGGAAAGTAATATTGATGATTGTCAATGAATAATAACAGGTAGATCGTACTTTAAGTGAGGAATGTTAATGTAAACTTTTAATGTTGCGTGGAACTGAAGTAATTCAATATACTGAAACTTTACTCTGCAAATTGTTGGTTCATTTTGGTCTCGTTTTTTTTCATTTTTTTATTTTTTGATTGAAATTATTTCGTCGGATTTTGTTTTTATGTTACATATTTTTCCTCTGTCGTTTTTGAATGTGAAATCGATTACCATTTGTTTATGTTTCATCATTTTTGGTTGAAATTCAATTAATTTTGAGATGTTTTTGAAGGATTTCATTGTTTTGACAAATTTTACCGCTGTAGTTTTTCGATGTTCGTGAATTTGTTCTGTTTAATTCTTCTCCTTTGTGACTTGAGATGAATATTTTAAAATAAGTCAATTCTTCTAATAATCACTGATTGTGTACATATGTTCAACTTCGAAACGAAACACAGTCAAAAATATAATTAACGCTTATTATGCTATTGAGTATGAGGTTTAATTTGAGAGAAATCGATTGCAGAGCAGTCGACCTCATTCCACACTTTTGCCTGAAATCAGTTACGACAGGGCTCACTAGTCATTACAGAAATTGAAAACCAGAATTTGTAATTTCACGTTCATCAATATTCTTTGAATGATTGCATTTCACTGTATTAATTTGATTTGTGGAAAAAGCGAAAATTTGAAAGTAAAACAAATTTATTAGAAAGCATGCATGATGACAATTAAATTCGCTCAACAACAAAGACAACAACTCCAAATATATACACACATAAAAGCACTAAGAATAACAAAAATGTAACGATTGCAATTGTAATTAATTGGTTCTACAATTAGAGAGATGAATTTTGATCGAACGACATATCGAAGAATCAAATATCTTGTCGAATAAAACCGAAACTGAATCAGACGTGTGCAATGGAGAAGATAATGCAATAAAGGTATCGACGACTTTCAAATGACAAAAATATGATCACAATAAACTTTGTCCAAAGTACAATCCCACTTGAATGGCAGAAGGATGAATGGATTGAATTTACTCGTTCTCATAAATTTGAAAGTGATTGTTGTTCGTTTTATTCGAATCATATTAAGGAATTAAAAAGTAATTATTTGAATTCACTGATAACGCAAGGAAAGGAAACCAACTTAACATCCTATTCCACAAACTCGGTGTGTGTGTATGTAACTTCGTGATGAGATAAAATCCTGGTTGAGACAATGAAAGTAACCATGAAATGAGGTCAAAATAATGGAAATGATCGTGAATTCCAAAAACGATGGCTGATTTTCAATACCTCCTGCGAATGGGTGAACGATCACGCATGCCCATTCCTATTGGAGGACCACGTCGCATTAAACCGCCTCCACCTCCCAGCGCTGGTAACGTTATGGCCACATCAATAAAATCACCGATCTCGAATTTACAATTCGCCAGCTGAATTCCATTAGTTAATGCCAATCATATTCGCTGAGCTTACGTGATAATTTTCAGTTCAGTTGTTAATTTCTAGTTCACCACAACTGACTTCTCGTACTAACGAGACATTCAAATACTTAATAATTATTCAGAAAATTTAACTAAAATAAATTGAGAGTCCGATGAGATTAATGAAAACAACGAACGGTTTTATTGTCGTCAACACCACGTTGTCCATTCATCGTATTACCAATATCACGTATCACATAACGAGGTGTGAAACGGTCGGGACTTACTGAAATTTATGGCATGAAAGTGTTGCTCCATATGACACTCTACAAAAAAAAGAATAACAGAAAGAAAGTTCTAAAAATAATAATTGTAATGGCAGAAGGTGAATCAATTTGAAAAATACGACAAGGATCGAAAGCTCAGTTGAGTAAAGAACACTTACCGACGGCGAAATCGAAGACTGTACCCCGTCGACGTGCATCTGGATTAACTTCTTTAATAAGCGACATCAGTTCACGTAATGTACAATCCATCCTATACAATGAAACAAATCGTTCGAATACAATTTCTTTAAAATCAGAAGCAATAAAATGAATCAGCAAAATAATAATAATACAACTTCAGCGAAATATTGTACCATGTATAGATTTGTAATTCATTTGCTGGTGTGCTGCCACGTCCATATTCACTGAGCGGATTGTGTCGGCCATTCGCACAGAATATACGCAACAGAAGAGGACAAATCTGTAAACGAACAATTCAATCGAAATTTTACGATCCATCACTGCACAGATATTCATTTCTCACCGAAATTCGACTGTGCAATTTGCACGTTTGATTGTTAGAATGGATAAAAGTGATGATGCATCAGCGTAGTGAGTGGATTGTTATGTTTGTGCTTAATAAATGAAAGAGGATAAGCGAATATATTTTCACACCTTTTCACGATCGACAGTCTTCTCTTCTGGTGCCTCTACTTGAGAGGGTACATTCATGGCGTATGTCTGCTGGATACAACGATTGGAACAGCTGAATACGCGCCTGAAAAACCACAAAAATTGGCTGGAAATGAAAGTAACGTGCAATGAGAATACTGGAGTCTAAGCAGAACTACGACGGTTTTACATTCTCGATGTATGCTTCTTTCAGCATGATGGTTTACTTTTCGGGTCGAAAAAGTTTACGAAAAACACTGTCGACCACCAGAAAATGAACAACATCATGTAAATAACGAAAAAAGTCTCTTGAATGAAAGCTGTGTCAGACAAACTAGCCATGGGCGTGTACCAAAGCAGTATGGAGACAGAGAGAGAGCAACGCGTGTCAGCGGTTTTCAAATCTCCAGAAATAGAACAAAGATCTGCAGAGTGATAACGTTTTCTGATAGAGCTTCTGATAGAGCACTGCATATGATTATCATTTTTGAAATGTCTCAATTACTTGAAGATGCTTCTTCAGTCGCACCAATTCTTCACCTGTGCTTCTTCTCCCGATCGCAACCACATTTGTTCACACGTCCT